TCCGCAGCGGTGGTATCGGCATGGAGAACCTCTTGATGGAATACGCGGTTGCAACACTCATCCTCGTCAACTCGATCATCGATGCCCCCGAAAATGACCTCCAGCTACGCATGCATATCAGGGCGCAGTTCGGTGCTTGTGGGATCAAGCGGATCCTCACAAAGATGGAGGCGTTCCAATATGACTTGATAGACAAGCAGATCGAGCGGTTCCGGACAAATGAGGCTATAGACTATGAGGATATGCTCGAGCGGGAGAATAGTAGCATGAAGGACAGCGTCGAAGGCGAGGTTAAGGACCTCAACGATCCGACCCAGATCGTAGACGCTATTCAGCAGCGACTCCAAGGCTCTAAGACGCATGATTACTTCATATCGGCATTGCAACACCTGCTTCTGATTCGAGATAATGACGGGGAAGAACGGTTGCGTATGTTCCAGCTCGTCGATTCGATGCTAAGCTATGTGGCCATGGATCGGCGTCTGCCGAACATGGACCTCAAACAAAGCTTGAATTTCACTGTACAGAGTCTCTTAGATAAGCTACACACGGACTCTGAAGCTAGACAAGCCCTGGACGAGGCTTTGGAGGCCCGGCAGATTGCCGACGCTGCCATGGCAGAACGGGATGAGATGAGAGCTCAGTTAGAATTAGGTGCAGATGGTCTTGTTGCTAAGCTACAGAGACAATTAGATGAGCAAGCCCGCTTCATTGAAGCCCAGAAACGTCAAGCAGATAGTCTTAAAGCCGAGATTGAGAACATGCAGACGGTGCGTGCTAAGGAAGCGCAGCGGTACGAGTTAGAAACTAGAGAGCTTTATCTTATGCTCAGGGATGCTCAAGACGTGGCCGCCTCCCAGGCTGTCAAGGGCAATGCCGGGGGTAAAATGGCCGACGAAGACCCGGCTAGAATGCAAGGTATTTTGGATCGAGAAAAGCTCATGGACCGGCTTGCTATGCAGCTCGAACGGCAGAAGACCCAATACAAACTCGAGGGTAGAGTCTGGGGCGATACTATTGGTCCTTCAGATCGCTTGCGTGCTCTACGTGAGGAAATGGAAGGCTATGCCGAGAGCTACCCTGAAGCACCGGAAGGTGCAGGACTCCCGCCCTCTGGTATGCTTGGGACAGTCAATAGACACACAAGATTGTCCAGGAAGCCCGTCGGCTCGGCAGGACAACATGTCTCTAACACTGACGAAGGTGTCACTGAAGGTGAAGACGATATCGTATACGAGAAGCCAAGAGTCGTTGAAATCAGAAGGCCGGTTATGGATCCCAAACAGGCCGCTAGCCTTATGTCAGAGATCCAATCGAAGAGGAAGGATGAGATCAGCGACTCCGAAGATGGCGCGACGACCGGTCCATCTCACCCAAGCCTTGAGACACCTATCACTCCGGGAGAAGTTGAACCGCCCAAGATTCAAGTCAGCGATACGGCTGCTCCACCCCCTCCGCCTCCTCCCCCGATGCCCGGTCAAATTCCCGGAGCACCGCCGCCGCCGCCTCCTCCACCTCCACCTCCAATGCCCGGCCAGATTCCGGGAGCCGCTCCTCCACCTCCGCCTCCACCGCCGCCTCCCCCGATGCCAGGAATGCTGTCGCCCTCATCTGCAGGTGGTCCACCTCCTCCGCCTCCACCTCCGCCGCCTCCTATGCCAGGTGCTGTTGGAGGAATGCCTCCTCCTCCTCCGCCAATGCCTGGTGCCATGTCCGGCCACTTCCTCTCTGCGCAAAATAACTTCGGGCCGGCTCCTACAATCGGCCTCCCTGTTGTCAGGCCGAAGAGGAAGCTCAAAGCCCTCCACTGGGACAAGGTTGACACACCTGAAACCAGTCACTGGGCAGCGCACGCACCTTCCGCGGAAGCAAGAGAAGAGAAGTATGCTGAGCTTAGCAAGAAGGGTATCCTTGACGAGGTTGAGAAGTTATTCATGGCTAAAGAGATCAAGAAGCTTGGTGTTGGCAGCTCTAAGAAAGATGACAAGAAGCAGATTATCTCTAGCGACCTTCGGAAAGCTTATGGTAAGCTCCTTTCCATACTAGGGCTGATGTTCACGAAATGCTAACTTATTCTAGAAATTGCCTTTGCCAAATTTTCACAGTATTCTGTAGAAAAGATTGTCCAGATGATTATTCAGTGCGACAAGGAGATTCTTGACAATCCCGTCGTCATGGATTTCCTCCTAAAGGATGATCTATGCAACATTCCGGATAACACTGCGAAGCTTATGGCGCCATATAGCAAAGACTGGACTGGTCCAGAAGCTAGCAAGGAAAATCGTGAGCAAGACCCGGAAGAACTCACCAGGCAAGATCAAATCTACTTGTACACTGCGTTTGAACTACACCATTACTGGAAGAGCAGAATACGTGCGTTAGCCTTGACGAGGAGTTACGAAGCAGACTACGACGAAATCAACGAGAAGATTCGTCAAGTCGTGTCAGTGTCAGAGGCTTTACGAGACTCCGTCTCTTTGATGAACGTGCTCGGTTTAATTCTCGATATTGGAAATTACATGAATGACGCCAACAAGCAAGCGCGAGGTTTCAAACTCAGTTCGCTCGCCCGCTTGGGTATGGTGAAGGATGACAAGAACCAGTCGACGCTCGCTGATCTCGTGGAGCGTATCGTCCGCAACCAGTATCCCGAATGGGAGGGTTTCACAGCCGACATCCAAGCTGTCATCACCGCTCAGAAGATCAACATCGAGCAACTACAAGCAGACGCTAAGAGATACGTGGATAACATTCGTAACATACAGATGTCACTAGACAGCGGCAACCTCAGCGACCCTAAGAAGTTCCATCCTCAGGACCGTGTCTCGCAAGTCGTCCAGCGGTGTATGAAGGATGCTCGTCGAAAAGCGGAACAAATGTCTTTGTACCTAGAAGAGATGGTCCGCACATACGATGACATTATGGTTTTCTATGGCGAAGATCCGAAGGATGACAATGCCCGCCGTGACTTCTTTGCCAAGCTAGCTTCCTTCCTGCAAGAGTGGAAGAAGAGCAGAGAGAAGAACGTACAGTACGAGGAGACGAGACGTAGAAACGAAGCCAGCATGAAGCGAAAGCATGGTCAGCTCAGGGTCACGGGAGCTGTCGAGAGCGGTCCGCCATCGCCAGCTTCCGCTGGTGCAATGGACTCGCTTCTGGAGAAATTGCGCGCTGCGGCGCCGCAAACGAGAGATCAAAGAGACCGAAGAAGACGTGCACGTCTCAAGGATCGTCACCAAGTTCGCATCGCTTCAGGCCAAAAAATACCCGACCTCAATGAGATACCAGAGGCCGAAGCCAATCTCAATAAGGAAAGCACCAATGGGGATGTGGATCCCGATAATAACCCTATTAGTCCAGACTTCCCTTCCCCTAGCGAAGCTCCTCCAGCGGCTGAAGATGGAGAGGATGGTCTAGCTCACAGAGCTGCAATGCTATTGCAAGATATGAGAAGCGGTGATGGAGCAGATGATAATGATCCGGAGAAGAGAGATAGTCTGAGGAAATCAGCGGCGGAAGAAAGGAGGGCTAGACGACGGCGGCTGAAGGGCGGCTCCGGTCAAAGCTCCAGTACTACCGAAGCGGATGAGGGCGCCAAACCATCTACACCCGAAGCAACTATACCGGAAGAAACCCCTGCCGAAGTCACGGCGGAAGAAGGAAAGGACACTGAGAAGTCTTGAATGAATCCCCATTACTTCTACTCATCCAAGGAATACAATATATAATGTCTACGATATATTACGCAACCAACCCTGAGAGAATCCTGTCTGGAGCAACGACAGCCGAACTTGCCAGGCTACTGTAGAGCAATTCCGAACCGAGGTTCGTGTACGATTAAAGGCCGGAGAATAAATCTTGTCATATAATTCCCGGTTCTGGAACCGGCACCTCCGTTTGACAAAAGACTTTTGACGCATATAAGCAAAAACCCACTATTCGATTCCATCACATCAATCACTGCACTTGCGCTGCAGGCGAATTTACAACCTCGTTCATCTTCGATAGGTGTGTATTATTTTTTACACTTGGCTTGGCGGCAAATTCGGACCAGGCTATCAGAGAAGGGCGACTATTAGAGGTTCGAAGGAAGAGAAAGACAGGGCCAGACCGGGCCAAATTCCCTTTGTCAGCGGAGGAAAGAGGAGAGGAAAGGAGGGGAGGGGAGGAAGGAGTTGTTAGGACCGACCGGCCGAACTTTTCTCTCTCATGTCGGAGGATAGGGGGCGTGTGTTTATAAAGACCGGTGAAGGTTTTTCAAACCTGACTTAGGTAGTTAAAAAAGAGAGCCTTTGAAAGGGGAAGGGGGGAAGTGTGGGGGAAAACGAGACGTACATAAGCATAGTATATTACCTAGGTTTGTAGTTGTAGGCTCTACGATCAAGGGATATCTTAATAATTTTGCTCCTTGAGCTGTCTGGTAACTGTATCTTTGCGTGAGATGGTGTTGGTGGTAAATCTTTTCAGGTGCCAGGTGTTGATATCTTGTAAGTTTGTTCGGGTTCGTTTGAGCTCCTTGCTGCACAGGGTGCTTGAGTACCTATTGAGAGAACTGGAAATATTGTATTGTTGGTATCCAACAACCAACCTTATAAATGGACATCGACAGGTTTGAAGATAGGGGCGGGAGTGAGACTCGGACTGCTATTGTGATATACTTGCCTCACTACGCGTCAAGGATAGGAATGAACTCCCACTTCCTCTTAAAGATTTAAGAGAGAATATTAATATGTCTCTGGCGTATTAAGCTACTAAGAATTGTACTCTGGAGTGAATCTACCTAGTATTTGTGAGCATTTCCTTCCTAGGTAGCTGCTCGTCTTACACTATAGCAATGAGACAACCTCATAATATCACTGACGCCTTACTTCAATACATCCATCCCATAACGAGAACTCGGCTCTGCGGAATATAACTTATGCAGAGCTAGCCGCTAGCTTACCTAGGTAATTATGATATGGAAACGAAGATTAAAGTAGCAGAGAAAAGAGCAAAAAGATTAGCCCGGGTGGGATTTGAACCCACGTCTTTCCAACCTCGACCTCTCATCTAAGAGATTTTTTTTTATTCCTCAGAAGCGCGTAATGATGGAATGTGCTACCGCTGCACCACCAGGCTGTTTGTTACTAAGAGGGCGGAAATTGGGAATCATATGTGGCTGGCCTGCGTTAGGTTTAGGCAACCCCTATTTCTGCCTAGGCACCTAGGTATCCTTTACAATGTTACTTGCACCCCTTGAACGACGAGAGGCCTACATCATTAATGTTTGAAGGCTTTAGTTAGGATACTTGGTAAATTTTTTTCAAGTCTCTTCGTATAAAGATACCTACTTTCCAGCTAGTCATTAAGCACGCCTTGCCACCAACCCAAGCCATTCCTTCACCTCTTCCCGATCTCAAATCTTACCCCTATTCCACATTCCCTCTTCAAGATTTATATCCAACCAACCATAACACAACCCCAAGCTCTCTCTCTATCACATGCATATACACGCATTTAAAACAGTTCCTCCTCCTTCACCAGCACACTCTCATTCAAATCCTCCTTCCCCACGGACTTGATCCCCGACAAATGCAGCGTAAGCTCCAAGTCCCCCAGCAAGCTGCGCAGGACGTGCGCGACCCCTTCCTCGCCCCCGAGCACCAGCCCGTACACGTACGGCCGTCCGATAAGACACATGTCCGCGCCGAGGGCCAGCGCTTTCGCGACGTCCGCGCCGCTGCGGATCCCGGAGTCGAACAGGACGCGGACTTTCCTCTTCTCCTTCTCCTTTTCCTTCTCCTTTTCCTTCTCCGGGCCCTTTTGCACTCCGTCGGTTTCCGGAGAAGGCGAGCAGTTGACACTCTCAACGGCCCGCACCACCCCCCTCAGCATCCCCAGCGAACTCGCCCCGCCATCGGCCTGTCGGCCCCCGTGGTTGCTCACGACGATCCCGTCCGCGAGCCCCGAGGCCGCGATCTCCCGCGCGTCGGACGCGCTCTGTACGCCCTTGAGCACGATGGGCCCGTCCCAGTGCTCCCGGAGGAAGGACACGTCGGAGAGGGTGTGCGTCGTCCCGGGGAATATGGTGCGCGTCCACTCGGCTGCCGCGGCGCCGAGGTCTTCCGTTACGGAGGCGCCGTCGTGTTTTTGGCGGAAGTGGGCTTGGAAGACGGGGTCCGAGAGCCCGATGGCGACGCCGACTTGGTCGGAGCGGAGGAACGGGTTGTATCTTGGGGAGGGGTGGTTAGTTAGCTGCTGATAGTTTTTATACTCACTCTACTACAGCTGATCATATGAAGGTAAAGGTAATGGAGGAATAGGGGTAATAGCATATACGACGACGAACAATAAACAAAAAGGGGCTAAACAGACTCACCCATTATCCATGTCGCTCGGCCTCCACCCCAAGATATACGTATCCAGCGTAACCACCAGCACGCTATACCCAGCCTTCTTCGCGCGCTCGAGCAGCGACACCGTGATATCGTCGTGTTCTCTCGCCGGCCAATATAGCTGGAACCACCTCTCCGCCTTTCCTTTCCCCTCTCCCTGCTCCACCCCGGAATCATTCGCCCTCGCCACGTCCTCAATACTAGCACTGCTCGCCGTGCTCAGTATGAACGGGACCCGCTCCCTCGCCGCCGCCCGCGCGGCAGCCAGCTCCCCGTCCGGATTCATGATCTTCTGGACGCCGACGGGCGCGCACGCCACGGGGAAGGGTAACTTCTTGCCGAAGACATCCACCGAAAGATCCGGGAACACCCTGCCTTTCCCCCCCTCCCCCTCGCCACGAGACTTCCCCCCTAGCCGCGGTCCGAGCCCCAGCCGCCGCGGCACAATCGACCACCTGCCGAACGCCTCCCTGTTCTTCCTCGCCGTCTCCCCGGCCCCTGCGCAGCCCAACACGTACCCCCGCGCGTCGGCCGACATGCGCTCCGCGGCCAGGGGCTCCCATTCCAGGGGCTTGAACGTGAAGGGCGGGCGCTGGTACCGCAGCCCTCGCCGGTAGACCTTGGCTTCGTACGCGAGGGGGTCCGGGTCCGAGTGCTTCTCCGTGTTGGGGCGGGTGCTGCTTCGGGGTTGGGATTGGGATGACATGTTCGTAGGTATGGTAGACGAGGTAGGTGCTGTAGGCGTTGTAGGTGTGGCAGGTATTGTACTATAAGTCTGTACGCTGGTCTTTCTATACAACCTTGGGAAGGGAACCTTAGGTATTTTTTCGAGAGATTTACTCAAGAGAACAGGAAAAAAAAAAAAAAAAATTAAAAATAAAGAGAGAAGTGAAGTTACGTCTATTAGATACAGATAACTACAGTACCTACTAATACACCTCATCGGCTCCCGTTGGCCGAGGACCGCGTCATCTTCCCTGCGGGTACGAACTTCGCCAGCGCCGGTTTTTTATGCCCGGGCCCACGCTGTCATGATGTCATATACCTATATACCGGGGGAAGAGAAATCAAGCAGATAAAATGTATGCTTACATTACAAAAAGCTTGGTTGTTTTTCTATCCGGTTTCTATCGACAGTGTATAAAATCGAGTATTTTCTAAGCTAACCTCCTTAGGTGCCTATTCCCAAGTCTTGGCAAGTTGGATAATTACTTGGGGTTTGGAAAGGGGTTCCTTAAAAAAGGGGGGCTTGGTCGCTGGTATCTTATTCCCTTGATCCATGTCGCTTTATAGGGCCAAAAAAAAAAAAAAAAAAAAAAAAAAAAAAAAAAAAAAAAAAAGAAAGCAAAAAAAAAAAAAAAAAAATACCCCCCACCAAGCCGAAAAAATAAATATATGGGGGCAC